TTGAATTCAGGAAAATACTCCAAGTACATAAAAAGTAATCTGTTATTGATTCTGAATCATTGGAAAATACACATTTCTACAACTATTTGCCTGATGTCCTAAATGATAAGCACCTTGCATTGATCCTATTTTAGTGATTGATTATGTGCCATCAAGTTGTTTTTGACTCCTGGCAACCACAGAGATATATTTTAATATCTTCTTACAATAGAAGAGATAGATATGAATATAATATGGTTTGATCAATGGAACAGCAGAAAGAGAAATACAAAGAATCTAGACTATTACAAGGAAGAAAATTTAGTACTTCTATTGAAATGTAAAACATGTTTTTTTCATATTCTAAGTTTCCTTTCCCTGCTACATGTCTAGTAATAAATTCCTATTTGCTAAAAGTTGTCTCACTGCTATCTGTGTGTGAAACTAATCTATTCTTAAAGGTTCCAGCATTTATTTTAATGGATTAAGGCAATTTGTGGATTTATTCAATAGCACATTCATTCATTAGTATTTAAAATGAAAGGGTGATTATCCCCAATAGAAGGGAGTTTATAGACGAGCTAAAAGCTGCTGTCCTACTTTCTACTTTTCACCCTTTCTATGCAACTAATCTTCAATTTAAAAAGTAAAAAGGCTTTTTAAGTTTGAATAGACAAAAGAAAGAGGTTTTGTTCCTACAGTTTGTGTGACAGGCCACATGACCAGAGAAAACTATGAGGCGACATAGTCCAAGAAGTCCTAGGAGAGAAGCCCCTATTTTCAGAGGCCTGATGATCTGGAATCACACTAAGCATTAAAAAAGAAAGAAAGAAACCCCTGAACACTAGGGGCATTAAAAAAAAAAAGGATGGTAGTTGGTAAATTGTAAATTCAGACACAGAGAATAAAAGATTTTAAAGGCCTGACTTCATTTACCTCTATCGTCAATATTTTGATTTTTCCAGATACTGCTAATTAAAATTAAACCAATAATTATCTGACTGAAAAAGATAGACTACTAACAGAACAGGATTAACACACAATTTTATTAGAATGTACCACTAGTTTCCCTTTCTGAAATATTTTGGTAATGGAAAAATAAACAGAGAAGGAAGGATATTTGTTAAACATGATACATCTTCTGTATATTTAGTCCTCAATTTATGACCATAACTGGGACCCAAATTTCCATTGTAAATCAGTGTAGTTGTAAAGCGAGTCATCAGGTGATCAGGCCCAATTTTATGATAATTTTTACTAAGTTATTAAGCAAATCTAGCTTCCTCCATTAACTTTGATTGTTGGAAGCCAGCAGAGGTTTCAAATTGTGATCACATAACCTCTGGACTTTGTAAATGCGAGCGAGTTGCCAAGCACTCTAATTTTGATCATGTGCCTACAAGTGATGTGATGGTCACAACTTCGAGGATTTGTTGTAAGTCATTTTTAGTAAGACTGTTGTACCTTTGTACCATCATTGAGTGAATGGTCACAAGTTGAAGTTGTATTCAGTGCTAAGGCTATTATTGGCTATTTAACTAAAGCATGTAGAACAGCAAAATGTTAATATTGTGAGGCCTGAGTGTAGTCCAATGAATCTGAAGTGCTTACAGTATATTCAAAACTGAATAACTTTAATTAAACTTCTCAAAAGCATCTCAGTTTGATTTTTGTTTATGTCAGTTAGATAAAATCTTTTGACTACTTATCCAACTTTAATTTCAACATTACTTCGATTTTGTGACAATTTTGTTGCTATTTAATTCCAAAATATTTTCTCTTTACCTAGTTCTGCCCTGCTATCACTCTCCCTTTTGGTTAGCAAAATGCATCAGGAAAATTAAATGAATTGTGTCTGTTGCTGATCAGCCATAATGCCTTCGGCTGTGAGCAGATGCCACTCTGATATCTGAAGGCAATGCCTCAAGTTTGTCTAATTAAATTACTATTTTTCTGCCTCATTGCTTTAAAAGACAAGAGAATCTTGTCCTTGTTGCTCGGTGGGCTGAAAGACTACTCATTTTCTGAATTCAGAACAGCTAGGATACATGATTATTGTTTTTGTAATATCCATCTTACTATTTGTTTATTTAATTATTTGTGAGTACTGGGTTTTTGAAGACTCAGTTCCTTTATTCCTCAGATATTCCAGCTCACCAATGTTTTTTTAATTTGCTTCTCATTTCAAAGCACGATAGATTTTTTTGCAAACCATATGTCTCTCAATATGACAATACTTTCCACTGTGATCCAATTATTGTACAACTTCTGACCTACTTGATTAGATGAAGGCATAAAAGTAACTTCAGGGCACCAACAGATTTTGTTGACAAGATAGTCCTGTTTAATGTCTATTTCTAGCTTGCTTCTATTTTGTAAGTGACAAAAGACAACTGAACCAAAATACTTTTTGTTAAAGCTGGAGGGCCCCTATTGCTGTTTTCTTAATTATTGTTTGAAAATGGATTGTGTACAAGATTATAAAACCGCCAAAATGTATTTGTATAGAAATACTAATTGTCTCCACATGGTAGATATTAAATTCCTAGGTTCAAGTTTTATCTTTCTGGCAATCCTTCATTTTCTGAAATTAATTCGTTATAGTAGGTTAGAAATTTGCTAACTACCATCCTGGTCATAAATCACTATGGGGAAAACAGAACCCTGACAGAAAAAAAATAGTTTAAACTGGAGGTATTAGGAGTCAATTAGTAAATAAGAGTAAGTTTATAGTGTACATGGCTCTTTTCTGTCTAGATGGAAATCAGTTAAGAAAAAGCAGTCAGGCAAATTATTTTCAATGTTTTTCGATCCATTAATTGCTCTTTCAACTGATCTATCCTCAGGATCATTGGCTTTTCTTTGGAGCAGGTTTCCCTCCCCATAATAATTTAAAGTGAATCTGCCTCCTATTAACTTAAATCCATTATTCTTTGTCCTGTATTCTGAAATGAAAGAAAACCAATGTTATATTTTTTACATGACACATGTTCAAATATTACAAAAATGCTATCATATCCTCTATATCCCTCTGGCTAAACATAGCTATAGGTATTTCAAACTCATTTATAGAATTCAGTTCCTATCCCCTTGGTTATCCTCATTGGTTTTACTGGAAACACTCCCAATTTTTCTAAATCTTTCTCCCAGTGTGGCATCTAGAACTGGAATCAATATCAATAAATGTATATGCAGGTTTATCTTTGCATCCCCAATGCTTTGATATGTCATTAAATTTACTAGGGAATATAGATCAATATGAACCATAGGGTTCAGCATTTCTGTTGAATGCTGTCTAATGTCTAATATTAATTACCTGTAATTGCTATTGTTTTATTTGCCATATTTGTATAAATTGTAGTTTATACCGCACGGTTTATACCGTTTTGTTATACAAACTTTGTTCTAATCTGGTTACGCTTAGTGAAAAGATAAATAATTGTAGGAAGAAAACATATAAATTACTTTTTTCCTTCCATTCCAGAATTATTATATTAAATTTCATATAAGTATACTTTAAAACAATTAGATGATAAATAGCAGCATAGTGAAATGTAATTAATATTCAAACACAATGGTTATTCATAAATAAATAAAGGTAGAATGTAGTTCCATACAAAAACATTTATTTATAAAAAACATGTATTACTTTTACTCCAGTTACTGCTTCAATTATATTTTAATGGAATTAGTGAAGAGAAAAGCAAGTCTATGCACAAATGCCCCCAAATGTAGCTTAGTTGTGTAAAATTCACTAATTTGCTTCCATTTAATGGAAGCAAGAAGCTACAGATGAACAGCAAACAGTTTTCAATCCAAAATGGCCAGCCCAAGAGCAAATGACTCATTTTGAAGAGCTTTGTGGGCAAACCACTCTATGTCAAGTTTAAAATCCTTCCAAAATAATCAAACAGACTGTTTGGTTGTCAAATACAAACATTAAATAATGTTTGAATTAAAAATGAAATGGTTCAAAATTTGAAAGGGTTCAAATTCAGTCGTTTTATATACCCCTTCAGAAGGCTACTCTCCCCACTCCCCGTTATCAGCAAGAGAAACTGCAAAAGAGATATAGTATTATGTGTATAGTATTTAAAGTGTATAGTATTTAATTCATTGAACTGAATTTAAATTTAAGTGCAAAAAATGTACGCAGGATTTTTTTTTTTTACGAAGAGTTCTAATGCTTGTGTATAGGCTATATTTGTAGATTGCGGCTTGTAAGCATCCTCGGGGTTTATAGAGACAAATGGTAACTGGTGTTTAGTATAGTAGAATTTATTTTATGCATGTTTTTTGATGGACTGCTTGTCTTTGCTATAACAGAGACTTAACTGTAAGAAAATACTTTTAAGAAACAAGAAAAATGTGTTAAATAGGTTCCCTCTCCCCTGTACCATTTATTGGTACCATAAATTATACTTATATATAATTATACCACATATATAGAAAGCTGTACTGTAGTTCTAAACTTAAAGGAGTTTAATTAAAGACAACTAAAAAAAGAAACACGAACCTCCTGGTATGAGCAGATTCCTATGACTATCATAGGCTCAGATTGGTATACTATCTGGGTTCCTTTAACTATGCTGAAATATAAGTAGTTTTTGTATATAATCAATACAAAAATGCTTCCTTGATGCTAGAAACTGCCAAGTTAATTGAATGACTAAATCACAATATGTAGTAGGCATGGTGATCATAAAATGAGAGCAAGGAAACTCAGCATGCCATGCTGGTTCGAAGTGTGATAGCCAGTGGTTTACATAGAAAGCATACACAGATGCAAAATAAAATAAAATAAAATAAAATGGCCTGCTTCAAAACTTATTTTTTTTTCTAATACATGCCAGCAACAACTTTGTAAAGTGGTGGTCATATGAACCAAAACAAATCCTTCATACAGCCCTTCTTTCTCAAGCAAATTTTAATAAGTTTGTCCATCTGAAGTGCATGGTCCAGAGGAAATGGCTGTCATTGAACATGCACAGTCAAGCCACACTTAGCAGATTAATAATCACCTTGGATCTACTGCACCGCTCCTTCAAAAAAGAATAGAAAGGGAGTTTTTGGAAGCAAACCCACACATTTCATAGCTTGTAATAACAATAGCAGACAAGCAACATCATAACACATGAACTGCATATGTATCAGTCTTCAAGTACACACATACACAATTTGAATATAATGCTCTTCTAATGAATTATTCCAGTTTGAAAAATGCAAACATGTAATGTTAATAAAATTGTGTACGTATTTATACACCATTGAACATCTGATGGTGTGGAAGTATAATCAACTAATTTCCTTTTTGTAGCTAAGTGAAATGACTTGCTCAGGTAATACAAACTGGCCTGAATAAACCACAACTTTATATTATTATTGGAATAATATTTTAGTAATTATATCTTCAACCAAAGAATCTTGGGAAGTGTAATTCAATGAAAATTTGTACATTTTGTTACTTTTTCTTTCCCAGACTGGCAGAGTTACAAATCCCAGACTTTTCTGGGAGAAAGAATGAGATTATAAACAACAAAAATCTATAGTATGGATATGACAACATGTATTGAGAACTCAGAACTTAAAATTGGTTTTTATATATTTAAACACTCATATATTTATCCCCATGGTAAATAAATATCAAAAAGTTCTGCATGTTTCCCACACTCACCAAGCTAGTAATAAGTAAATCACAATTCATTATTCCATCAAATGGCTGAAGGAAAATATACATACATCACAGCCACACAACATATAATCAGAATAAGAACCCCATGCAGAGAAGAACCTTTCCTTTAGCCACAATATAAAATTCCATGAAAAGAGGAAAAACCTCTAAATCAGGGGTGTCCAGCCTTGGCAACTTTAAGACTTGTGGACTTCAACTCCCAGAGTTTTTCAGCCAGCAAAACTGGCTGAGGAACTCTGGAAATTGAAGTGCACAAGTTTTAAAGTTGCCAAGGTTGGAGACCCTTGTTCTAAACTGCCTCACACTTTGCATCCCCAAATGAGCATAAAATATGCACCAATTAAATGCTAAATATTTAAACAAAAGATAACGGCAATAATAAACATTCCCAAACCAAGGCAATGTAGAGATCTTAGAAACATACCTCCTTTTGATGGTAAGCATCGCTCCCAAAAGGATAATTACGAACATCAGAAGACCAGCTATAACTCCAGCCATTTTCACCGTATTATCAACCTGTTTTTCTGGTTCCACCACATTAGAATTCTGTGTAGAAGCTCCTTAAGAAGTTGTAGAAAAAGAGAAAATAAAAGCATTGTTGAAAAATCCCAGGTAAATCAGATTTCAACAACTGTTCAAATGCAATAAAAAGCCAAACCTGTATTTGACCATGATAGAAAGAGAGATGTATCTTTGCCCCAAATATGACAAAAATAGTTTCTCTCTTCCAACAATATGCTCTGTGATATAACAGACTAAATGGCCAACATAACCCCATTTCAGTAAATTTATCATGCATTACCACATAATGTAATTTTGTATGCCATTCTTTTTTTTAAAAAAATAAATATTTTTATGTTTATTAATTTATTTATATTTTTTATTGGCTGCTCATCTTACCACAGGGTAATTCTGGGAAGCTTACAATCATAAATATCTATCTATCTACATTAAAAAATAAATACAAGCAACCATTAAAATCCAATTACAAGTAGGGAGATGGGGTTGGAGAAGTGGGATGTGCTGTTATTCGATCAACCACTTTTTTATGTCTAATGAAATGAAGATGTCAGACCTTGGAAAAGTGTGTCAAGTGAAAAAAAATGGATAACCATTAAATCAAGTATGTATTTAATATTATTATTATTTTATTTATTTGTATAAATATATTACTTTTACAAATATCTACAGGTGCTGAACACAGCTTTTATTTTCCTCACAACAACAACTCTGTGAGGTGAGTTGGGCTGAGAGAGAATACCTAGCCCAAGGTTATCCAGCTGGCTTTCATGGTTAAGACAAGACTTGAATTCACAATCTCCCACTTTCCCTGATGCCCTGATGCCTTAACCAGTAGAGCAAACTTGCCAGTTCTTTATAAGAAGGTTTGTTTATAAAGGATTATTATATATATTTACATAGGAGTATTAAAATTAATTGAGAACACCCTTTGCCTCATATTCCTGGAGCTTTGAATACCATTTTAATTGCCAAAGCTTCATAACTGAAAAGTGGGAAGATCTCAAAGTGCAAATATAGCTCTGCTCATATTTTACAACATCAATAGCTATTCTAAATATGCATCCCACACTTTCAGTCAGCAAAAATATTTTTGCTTCATTTACTAAATGAAGCAAACCAGGATAATATGCCTAGCTATGACTTTCTGCCAGAAATTTCAATAACAGTTGTGCTCTGTCCAGTATCCCCAATGACTAGTAGAACAGCATTTTAAGAGCTTATACTTTATGGATTACTGCCTCCAGCATATAGCAATTAAGGGAGCATCTGAATAGGATCTATGTCATTCAACTGCTGCAATTGTCCAGAAACATATTGTAATAGCAGTGGTATTTCTCATGCCCTTAAGGGCTTCCAATAAACCAGAAAACACTCAAATGAAATTGGTAAAATTGGATCTTCAATCTCTGGAGGCGCTCAAACAAAATCAAGTGAAGCTGCTTGCATTTGGAAATACAGTTTGCTAAGAGTATAGACTGAACACCAGCAGAAGATTTTGAAGAGTTTTCAACTGTCTGGTTATAGTCGAAAAACATTATTCAGTATGTGCATGAAGTGACATTCCTTATTGCAAGGTACACATAGTCTCTATATAAAGAAATTGGAGGAATAAATATAAGAAGTTAATTTTCACTGACTACTACCTAAACAATTAGTGCAAGATAGATTGTGCATTTCATTTCAGAGTACAGTGAAATTCTACCTGTTTTTCACTGCTTGTGTTTGTGGAAGAGTGTGTGTGTGTGTGTGTGTGTGCATATCTGTGTTTGTCTATGTCTGTGTGTGTTGGTGTGTATCAGTGGTGGGTTTTTACCCAGTGGGGGGATTCAAGTAATTTAACAACCGGTTCTCTGCCCTAATGATTTCTTCCAACAACCAGTTTGACAAACTGCTCAGAATGTTAACAACCGGTTCTCCCGAAGTGGTGCGAACTGGCTGAATCCCACCACTGTTTCTATCAGTTCACCCCGGTTCAGGTGAGCTGGTAGCGGCGGCAGCGGGAGGCTCCGCCCATTCACCCAGACATCATCACAGATGCTCTGCGCATGCGCAGAAGCGCCATGTGCAAGCGAAGCAATCACATGCTCACAGTTCCAAACCGGTAGCGAAGGTAAGTGAAACCCACTACTGGTGTATATGTGTGTGTGACTGTTAAAATAATTTGATGTGCATGATTTAAATAAATGATCAACTATGGTATTTGTTTATTTATTTATAAGCCACCAGAAGCAAGTGTGTCTCAATACTTTAGAATCTCAGCAATTAAATATCAATGCACAAATGCTACTGTCTTAAACATCTTAGCCAATCTACAACAAACATTTATTTATTCTGCAAAGAGTTGGATGGGGAAATCAAATTCAGAGCAATAGTCAAATCTCCTCCACACCAATAGTTATTTAATTAATAATATGAAGACTAATTTGCTATAATATTTTACGGTAACATTTTATTTTACTACAAAGTAGAAAGAGAAGAAGAGGATGACCAGCCCCAAGGTGCATGGACTTAGTGGCAATTAGTAAAGGAAGATTTGGAATATTCGAAGGACCAGGTTAAGGATAGATGATCATAGAGAAAATCTATCTAACAGTTGACCCTGACCTGATGGCACATAATCAATAAAAACATAAATAAAGTAGACTAGTAAGGCTGAGGAACTTAGATAGGCTTTCATATGACTTTCCTAATAACTCACCTTCCAAACTATCAGGGAGGAATAAGATAATGGCTAGAGTACATAGTATGATACAAATAGTCTGCAATAATTTATAAAATTAATTTTCTATTTTCTAAAGTCTCCAATACCCACTGCCATAGATAAATTAACTAAGAAGTTACATATAAATTATCCAAATTCTTCTGTCATACAGAGAAGATGTATATCATTTCAGATGTCATAATATATCAACAGCTACAACATTTAACATTGAAAAAATATTGTGTTTGTCTCTAGCATTTATCAATTCCAAACAAAGATCTGCATCACAGTGTCAATAGAAGGTAGAATTTTAAACCTGTTTGTATTGGAACAATTTTATCATAGATTTTCCATTTTTTAAAAGCAACATTTATAACTGATTCATTTAATTGGATTTCTATTTTTCCCTTTGGCTCTGAATATCCCTGGCTGTGCACCACTAGAGGTAAAGAGGTAAACAGAAAAAGATGCTTCAGAGCATGTATCATGAAACCACTGTCAGCAATGGCTTACAGCAACTCCATCTTTTTCCACGTTCAAACAGCTTTGCTATCTAGCTGCAGAACAGTATGAAGAAAAGATAAACTTCAAAGTACCTTTTTTCCCTACAAACCAAAAGTATTACACAGCCTTGATGTGTAGCATAATGCTTTGTTATAACACGCAATCTTTTTTGAAAACTAGCAAAAAGTGCCCCTTTCCTAATATCACTAATTTTATCACTCCAGAAAAGCTGTGTCTTGAGGAGGTGGGGAGGGCAAGATTGATAGCTATAAATCTATTTTATAACTGATATCAATACAAAGCTAACAAGTGATTCTTAAAAAAAACATTTTCTTCATGTTTTATCAAGATTCTGGCTTTACCAGCTCTCTGGAACTTTCAACCTCTCTCTCTCTCTCTCTCTCTCTCTCTCTCTCTCTCTCTCTCTCTCCATCTCCATCTCCATCTCCATCTCCATCTCCATCTCCATCTCCATCTCCATCTCCATCTCCATCTCTGTCTTTCTGTCTCCGTCTCTATCCATCTCTCTCTCTTTGTCTTTTCAGGACATGAACACAACTGGCACTTCAGTAGCATTATGTTGACAAGGAGAGGAGACACCTCTCCTGCGCGAGCTGCACTGGCTTCCGGTGGTTTTCCGGGTGCGATTCAAGGTGTTGGTTACCATCTTTAAAGCGCTCCATGGTTCAGGACCTGGATACCTTCGAGACCAACTTCTGCCACCAGTAACCTCCCACCGGCCAATTCCTTCCCACAGAGAGGGACTCCTCAGGGTGCCATCGGCCAAGTTATGCTGGCTGGTGACACCCAGGGGAAGGGCCTTCTCTGTGGGAGCTCCTGCCCTGTGGAATGAACTGCCCCCGGAAATACACAAGATCTCTGACCTCCGTGTGTTTCGCTGTGCCCTTAAGACCCTGCTGTTCCGCCAGGCAGAGCTATCTATGTAAATTATTTTTAAATTGGTGTTTTAATTTTGGGTTTTAAATTCTGGCTGAAATTGTTTAATACTTTTAACTATTTTAAAACTGTTGTTGTATTTTGTGTTTTTAATTGGCTGTACACCGCCCCAAGTCCTTCGGGAGGGGGGCGGTATATAAATTAAATTATAAATAAATAAATAAATAAAATAAAAATTTAACATATGAAAATGTGTTTCATTTGTTTCATGTGTTTCACATTTCACAAAAATGTGAAATGAATTTCGTAGAACTTTAGCTCATTTACCTGAACCTTTTGAGTAGATAGCTATTGGTTCTTGTACAATGAAGCTTTTTCATGGAGAAAGCAAGTTAATAAAATGCAGAGTGTAGCATGTGAGTGCATATGTGTAGGTTTGTTATGTCTGTGTGAATGTGTATGTGTATTCAATTGTAAACCCTGTTTCATCATTTAAAGATTAGAAGTTAATTGATTCTGAGGGAATTAATCTTTGCAGCAGTGAACAAATGCTAAATCCCTTATGAGGAAAACAAGATTTAGGCTTCTCAGAACCCAATAAATAATAGTTTGCAAAAAATTACTAGCTTGGTATATGTGTAGCTCCTCCATTATCAGAAGAATGGTTAGCCATCTCCTCTGTTCATCAGACAGTTTTAACAAAGACAATTAGAAATGCCTACTGCAATAAATTTAGAGATAAGCTGAAAGCTGTTAAACTAAAGTGAAAGCATTCAGTTGTCAAGATTTTGGTAATCTGATCATTTTCCCATTCAATAAATTTAATTGTAGAGGACTGTGTGTCAGAATATTGCTTTTTTGTTAACATTTACCATCCCAGATTTCTTCAGGAACAGAGTTCACGTGGTGAGAAAATTGAGCACAAGATTCTTATAC